CAACAAAGCTGCAAAACACCATTCATAAAAAACATTCCTCTACATCCTTATTAAAATATGGTAGAGATGTTAGCAAATAAAAAAAGGTAAAGTAAGTATTGGGTCTGGGATGTAAGCTCAGTAGCATAGCACTTGCCTAGCATGCTTGAGGCAATGGGTTTGATCCTTAGCACCATATAAAAATAAATAAAATAAAGGCATTCTGTCAATCTACAACTTTGAAAATATAAAAAATAAATAAATAAAATAAATCGATGGAAAACTGAACCATCTCCATCAGCATCCAAAAGTTTCTTAGCCTTGTGTCTGACATCTCATGGGATCATCAGGCTCAGATCTGCCCTCACAGACCTGGTCACTATACCACTAATCGATGAGTGTGGCCATGTGCAACCAAACCTGGAGTCTCCCTGGCAGCAGACTGTAAGTAAAATAAAAAATGGGCACAGAGACAAGATGTAGAGGCAGGAAAAAAATGGCTGCTTRTCCAAGAGTTCATGTTTATTTATATCAATAGGTTACATTAGGTCATTAGTACCATAGCTACATTACTGTTTATTGTATCAGTAAGGTTGACTATTCTGCAGTCACATTCTACAGTTACAATATGCAATGTGAGGACCTTTGTGCAGTGCTCGAGAAAGTCCATTGTTTAAAAAGTTACTGTTATGTGGACAGGTTCAGGCCCAGAGGAACTTGGTAAAACATTGTGGTTGTCTAACAAGAGAGTTTCTTCATTTCCAGGAGTTGTGTGCATGAGATCAAGGTCGAGGATGATAAGACTCTGTCACAGAGCCTCCTTATGCAGGACATTGCTACAGCAGCTAGGCATTCCTTGTCTTTGCACAGAGGCTTTCCTAACAGCCAGGCATTCTGTGTCTTTGCACAGAAGATTCCCTAGCTGCCAAGCATGCCACAATCATGAGGCTATCAGAGACCCCAATCCCAAACACAGGACTCCTACAGCAGACCTCTGGGTGGTGGTAGCAGCGGTAGTGGTGGGAGTTGGTGTCAGCAGGCAGCAAGTCAGCAGCAGCTGTAGTGAAACAGTGGCGGCTGCAGTGGCGGCTGCAACTGAGGCTGCGGGGGCAGCATCTCCTAGGCAACCTCTGGGGGCAGTAGCAGTGTCTATGACAGCTGGGTTGGGGGAAGCTGACTGAGGAGGCAGCKGCAGGTGGCTGCAACTGCAAGGGCAGCAGCACCCAGAAAGAAGACCTCCAGGCGACCTTGGGGAGGCAGCAGCAGTATCAGAGGCAGCAAGCATTGGTGCTATTGGTGTAGGCAGCAGCTGACTAGAGAAAGGACCTCTGGGCTCTGAGGCAGCAACTTCTGAGGTAGCAACGTGGGTACCCAGAGAAAAGACCTCCAGGCTCGGCAGTGACCTCTGCGGCAGCATTGGCTCTGGTTGGAGAATTTTTAAATCCAAACTGCCAGTCTATGTTTTTAACTGAAGCATTTACGCCATTTACATTTCGTGTTCTTACAGGGACATCATTTTTATTTCCTGTCATTTTTATTTCTGATTGCTTCTGTGACTCATTATTCACTTATGCATGTATTATTTATTCTCCAATCTTTGAATTGTTTCTGGTTTTCCTTGTTCATGTTTGCTAATATATTTTATTCTTTGTGAAATATTTCATTAAGCATATTTGGTAGTGTTGGTTTAGTGGTTATGAATTATTTTAGTTTCTGCTTATCATGAGAAATTTTTATATCATCACCAATTCTGAACTACAATTTTGATTTGATATAGAAATTTTGACACCTGTTATCTTTCAGGGCTCCCTATGTATTTTTCATACCCTTTTGGCTTTTAAGGTTTGGGCTAATAAATCCATAAAAGTGTTAATTAGCTTATTTCTAAATGTGATCTGCCATTTTTCTCATGATGCTTTCAAAAAATCTATCAATGTTATCTATATTGGGAATTTTAACTATGATGTGCTATGGAGAGGACTTTTCTTGGATATTATCTATTTGGATTTTAAATGCCTCTTGTATGTAGATTTGTGTCTCACTTATAGGATTTGGAAAATTCTCATACTATTTCTTTCAAAATGTTATGCAATTTTTAAAAAATTGTTCTTTTTAGATATCCATGACTGTAGAATGTATTTTTACACATTGTACATAGGTGGAGTATAAATTATTCTAATTAGGATCCCATTCTTGTGGTTGTACATGATGTGGAGTCTCATACATGAACATAGCTGTTATGTCAGATTCTTTCTACTGTCTTTCCTATTCCTATCTCCCACCCCTTCTCTGCTTTTTCCTTTATCTAATCCACTGAATTTCTATTCTTCCCCTACCTTCCCTTGTTGTGTGTTAGCATAAGWATCTTGGAGTCTTCATTTATGCCAATGATCTTTAGATTTGTCTCTTGATATTATCTCTTATTTCTTGAATTTTTCTGGTTATGATGTTTTAGTAACTTTTTTTAAAATTTTCTAGATTATACATTTTATCTTTTGGCCCCCAAAACTTTCTGCTTTTTGATATAATACATTGGTGATGCTTTCTATGAAATTTTAACTTTGATTTATTCAGTCTTTAATTTGGTTCTTTTTTAGAACCTCTCTCTCTTTACTGAAATAACCTTTCATTTGGATATTTTATTTCTTAGTTCCTTCTTTTTTTTTTTAAGAAGGAGCTTTATAAATTCTTTATCTGATATTTCCTCCAGTGTGATGTAAATAGGATCAGTTTTTTCATTGTCATGGGCTAATTGAAGGGGGCTTGTTCCCTTGCCTTTTCATATTGTATGCATTTCTACATGGATGGTTGGATTTTTATGTCTTCTACTTTTCTGAAAGGCACCATTTAGTGAGCTTCTTTCTCTTAATTGCTCCAGTCTGGGTGAATATTTAAGCATTGATTCTCTTTGAATCATCTGGCAGGCCTAGTATCAACACCATGTGTATAATTTCATTACCCAGTATACACACCCATACTCAGGCATACGGAATCATATTCATACAGTCATTCCCATACTTTAACAGACAAATACTCACAATGCAGACACCAATACAACTGTCATGTTTCACTATCACATAATCACACATTTATATTCATTGTGTGTCTCAGTACCTTGTGTGTGTGTGTGTGTGTGTGTGTGTGTGTGTACATTTGTGCTTATCTACAGGCCTGTGAATGCCATAGAGAGTGGCCTTGTCTGATCTTTATGTTCCTTTTAGCCTACCACATCCCACCAGGACAGCATGTCCACATGCAGCATTTAGCATTTAGCACAGGCTCTGGTGTTTGCTGTGAATGCACAACATGTGAGGGGAAAAGCCACGGTGCTCCACTTTCAGGCACCCCGGCTCCTCCATGAGCTGTATGACCTTCACCCACTCACCATAACCTCATGGCCCTGCCCTTTGGTCCTGGGTGTGCTTGCCCACTCATGCTCAAGATCCCCTCCTCCTTCAGGCTCCCTACACTTCCCCCCTCCCCATGTCTATCGTGTCCCCCGGGCTCCACTTCCTTTATTTACCCCCTGTAGGTGCCCTTGTTTATTGCCCACCCAGCTCTGTCTGCTCCTTTCATGTTCCTTTCCCACAGCATACTTCATCATGTTTCCCTGGAACCTTGATCCCCTTCTGCCTTTGAACCACACATTGTCATTTTACCCTCTGTTATCATCCTCCTCCCCTCCACAACCCARTATCCTTAACTTCCTCAYGCACACGTTGTCTTTGTAACTTAAGCCCAGCACTGACTTGAGTCCCTGAGCAACATGTGATATCCTTGTCTTCTCACTCTGCACCTTCTGCTCTTCCCCAGSACTTTGTAAGCCCACCCTCCAGGCTCTCTGCTCCACTATCTTAACTCTGTCATCCCATTTCCCTGTGTCCTCTGTCACTCTCATCTGTCACACAGCCAGACAYTCTCAGTCTTCTAAMTGCTGCACTATTAAACAATTGCTGCTGGTTATTGTTGATATGTGCCYCAAGAGTTGGAGTGTGTGTACAGTGATCAAATTCTGAGGCAGGTCAAATGGAGAAAAATTATGAGAAATGAGTTTATCAGACAAGTTAAGGAGTAAAAGTTCTCTGTGGATGTGCTTTCTAGAATTTTTCAGAGGCATGTCAGATTCCTCCAGGCTCTGCTGGGGTGTTGATTTTCAGTAGGCTATCGTTGAATAGTGGTTGCTTTCAGGGCAGCCTTAGAGATGGAGATGGAGATTGGAGATASGATTAATGACAGGAGTCTTACACCTACTTGGCTGCTCTAGATGTAGAACCACATTGGTTTTAGTTGGGGCCTCCAAACTASTATAATATGCAGTAGTATGCATGGATTCAGAAATGCATCAGGGATCTTGGAGTGCATTACACTGCATAAGGCAGGATGCCTGCAWGAAAATGCTCCACTTTGCAGTGCACCAGATTCCAAACTGCAGGGCCACYACCATCTAACTACTCTTTTCTGGGCCTCCCTTTATTTCATCTTCATTTGCTAATCACACTAACGGTACAGTTTTGGAAACAAATCCTATTAATTTCGCATATATTTTAGGTACTTTCTGGATCTGGTTTCACCTTTCAAGAAAAGCTCTCATTAAGATAGGAACATATAATTATGGAGAATTGTTATACTGCAATACCCACCACTCATTTCTCCACTGTATTTCTCCAGCAGACATTTTCAGGAGTAACCAACTTGTTCAGGCATTGTGATTAAACTGACTTTGAAGGTGAAGCTGCTCATTCATTTGGCCTTCCACTGTATAAATTCAGCCTACTGTCTACAGGATGCTATGTATCAACATGAGGAAAACCATCTTTATTTCCCATCACCATGGCCATGAAAATCTTGCATTCAGCCAGCTGAGAACCCCAATGCCCTCTGGAGCTTACAATAGAAACACAGGTGACTCTCCTATAAGTTTTTCTATTGGTGTTTTGAGCATGAAGAATGACTTCACAATTGCACATTGTTAAAAACATATGACTCATATAATTATGATCGAATTTAAGAATATTTGCTCTTTAGAAGCAGTGCCTGGATAGAATGGTCTCACAGCTCATGAGAAGAAAGGGGCTCACAGTGGGAAAACACATGGAGAGCAGTGCATTAGTGTTCACCAACCACCAACTGGGATTAAAGATCATTGTAACACAAACATTTAATAAGGAGGAAAGAGTGTGGAAAATCACAAAGGTGCCCACCAGGACAAGGATTCTCTGGGTGGCTCTGGACTCAGGGCAGGATCTGGGGGAAACTTTGATGCTGTGAATGTGCYGAACCCTCTGYTTGTGCCTGTACAGAAGGAGAACCATGGAGCCACTGGACCAGATCATGAGCATGGAAAAGACAACCTCAGGAAATACAAACAGTGTGGTGTATAATGAGTCTGTGATTTTGTCGTGCCCTGCAATAGAGCAGTAAACATAATCTCTTTTCTCTGTCACATTTTTGCTATTCCATTTGCTAAACACATAGAGAGGAAAAATGGAATTCACCACCATGTACAGGATCCAGCAGAGGGAAATGGAGAAGCCAATGTACTTTGGAGCTTTTCCTTTGAGATCCTTCCAACAGGAGTTCAHGGGGCTGATGGTGATGTTCTGGAAGATGCTCAAGAGGCAGGTGATGGCAATGGACATACTCCTGCCCAGTCTCTGAATATACAAAAGAAGTTTGCATCCTAAGTCATTAAAGTAATGTTTCAGCCCAAGCGTTGTCATTGCCTGAGGGATTCCTTTAGAGAGAATGACCAAGGAATTTGCTATAATCAAGTGCCTGAGAATCAAATCTGTGGACCTTAAATTGTGCTCATTGCAGAAATGGACTGAATGATAATAAAGCAGAGATAAATTTCCCAGAATTCCAACAGCAGTCTGTGATAAGAACATCAGTCCCATGGCCACATCTCTGGAGTCCATCCTCTCATTTAGCACATTTTCCTTTGAATGATAGCAACTCCTTACTATGATCAAAAAAATGACTCATTAAAATTTTTGTGAAGCACAGTGGTATATATCTGTAGGTACCAGCTAATCAAGAGGCTGAGGCAGAAGTGTGGTTTGAGCCTAGGTATTAAAACTCAGCCTAGGAAACATTGCAACACTTGTCTCAAAATATATTTTTTACACCAGGGAATACTTTTACTGTGTACATGGGTTGGATTAAAAAACATCAAGATGTACCAAGGAATAGGGGAAGTTCCCAGATTTTAATAAGAAAGTCAACTTTAAAAATCAGTTGATGATAACCTGGAGGAAGCAATGGAAAGTGAGATCAGTGGACAGAAAGCATAATTCAATATTTGCAGSATAAACTGATATTTGATAGTCATTTTGAATAAGAGGTCTGTGTTGAGCACTTCAGTAGAAATGATTCCTTATTTTTTCATTAATTATCTTCCTGTTTTGGTGTGTGTTTTGCTGTGCTTATTGTTTCATGGATACACACCCATATGGTTTTTCTTTCCTAATTTTTAGCATTTTAACATTTTCTGCTTTCTGTCTTGAGGGTTGGGGTTTTTGAATAGTATTTTTGATTTTGTTTTCTATTGTTTCTCTTTCTCCCTTTTCTTCTGGTGACAAATTCTATTGTTCTCTCTTTCATTCTCCCTTTACTTTGTATGTCTGTTTTTTCTTCTCCTTCCTTATAATCATCACATGCTGCATCTCTTCTGTATTCTCTCCATTAATTTTTTTAAAAGAGAGAGTGAAAGAGAGAGAGAGAGAGAGAGAAGAGAGAGAGAGAATTTTAATATTTATTTTTTAGTTATCGGCGGACACATCATCTTTGTTTGTATGTGATGCTGAGGATCGAACCCGGGCTGTACGCACACCAGGCGAGCGCGCTACCGCTTGAGCCACATCCCCAGCCCTCTCCATTAAATTTTTAAAATTATAAACTCATTTCTACCTTTTTATCACGTTTTTTTCTTTTAGTTAACTCTGTTCTTACCATCTTTTAGCACTAATTGGTTTATATAACTCCTGACCCCATCAWTAATGCTTTTGCAATTATTTCTGCTGTGGATGCCATTCTTGACACCTCTTGTTTGCTTTAATGCCAGATACAGTTCATGGTTACTTGTTTTTTTTTCTGGAAGCAATCACTGCCCTTACCATTTCTGTTTTTTTGTCACAATTCACATTGTAGGTGCATAGTAGGAACCAAGTATTTARTTTAATGCTGTATATTGTTCACCTAGGTTGTTGCTTATTGTTTGTTTCCTCCTATTCTGTGAAGTGCTGGAAACTATAGAGATGCTACAAGTTCMCAGGATAGAAACTCTGCTGCTGAACTAAATTCAGTCAAAAGACAGYRCACCTTGTTCAACACACAAAGGAATGAYACTCARTCTTCAGCTATCCCTTAATACAAAGAATAGAAGAGTCAAAAACCCAAACTAATGACCAGRCCCCAAGTAGAAACAGCTAGGGGTGGGCCCCTAGGTCCCGCCTATGGACATCCATTGTTATAGCTGAAACAGGCTGTGGACACCACACCTATGAAAGGGTCTCAATACAGATCACTC